TCTTTTAATGGCTGACTAATATTCCACTGTGTACGTACATATCGCATCTTAATCCATTCATCCATCTTCAAACTCTGGGAAGGCTATATTTGATGTGGGTTCGCTTTTTGCCCATGGTTTCCACTAAGCAATAATGAAGTATGCAAAATATAGTTTGGTGAGTCCTCAATGGGTTAATCCCAGAATTACCATCAGCCATGGTCATTCACTGAAGCAGATATTAAAGCAAAAGCTCATATTTGAATGCTTATTATCAACATTGTTAGCAACAGCCAGAAGGTGGAAGCAAGGGTGGTCATCCATCTGTGAATGAGTAAGCAAAATGTGACACATGTATGCAATGGAATATTACTCAACTATAAAAAGGGATGGTGTGCTCATACATGTTATGACATGGGTGAACATCAACACATGTTAAATGAGAGAAGCCAGACACAAAAGACCACATGCTGTATGATTCCATTTATATGAAGTGTCTAGAATAGGTGAGTGCAGAGATAGAGAGAAGATTAGTGGTTTTCCAGATAGGGAGAGGTCTGAGGTCTGAGGGGAAGAAGGCAAATGGAGTGATTCCATTAGGTGAAAATGTTTTGGAACTAGATGGAAGTGCTGGTCATACAGCTAATGATAAATTTCATATTAGCATGTATTTTATCATGTCAAACAAATGAAGGGTGCTACTTCTGAAAAGATTCTTCATTCTTGGTGAAGGCCATTAATGATGGACAGAGGAGTGGTGGCCACCTTGGTCTACAGGACAAGGCCTGCACTTCCCTCTTGGGATCCCTGGTGATAGGACCTACCTCGTATGGATATCGCAGCTACACCCCCTACCATCAACCACTCCAGGAACCCTGATGTCCCTCCTGACTCAAGATAGTTTTAAGTCTGGGGCAGCCTGTTTGAAACTCTCACATAAAGACATGAGAAGCATGGAGTACTGAGCTGTTTAAAATTCAAAATTGAAACTCAGCAGATATAAAGTTTAATTGCAGTATGGCCAGTGAAATTTCAGTTTATCTAAAGAAAAGAAAAATAAACTTTTATGACCTGGTGGTGGTAGAAGTTTAGTTAAAAGGTGTGTGGAAACTTTCTAGTTATTGCTACACATGTTCTTTTCCCTTGTCCTTGGGAGTGTGCCACTTGTTACTCTTTCCACAGCTTTCTACCCTCCAAAGGAAAAAGCTTTCAGATGAATCTTTCTCCTGTCTATGAAAGTAATGCTTGATTTTTATAAATGTCCAGAAAAAAACAAATAAGATATTATGAGTATATATGTGATATATGAAAGTGTGTATGTGCATATATATATATATATATATAGAGAGAGAGAGAGAGAGCTCATATACAGATATGCATATGGATGTGTGTGTATATATATAGACATATATATATATAGAGAGAGAGAGATTGGGCTTGTATCCATGTATCTTTTCAGCCTTTTATTCTGCACTGGTGTCTTCAGTTTCATTGGCATCATGCTCCCCTTATCAACAGCATGGGCTTCTTCCATCCAACAAACACTAGTCAACAGCACACTTTTCATTGTTTCTTGGTCTTCCATCTTATTCACCGTGTTCTAAATGAGCTGGAGGCTGTCCTGTGTGGTTCCTCTGTAGTCACCTATCCATCCATTACAAATGACTGTGGGTTTCTGGAATTATTTTCTCTTACATGTGAGGGTCAGTGACAGCCTCCAACCAGAGGTCATGACAGGTGAAAGGAACAGAAGTCTTGAAAAAAATCAGCTCAAAACACTGCTTTTGGAAAGCTTTTCCTGACCGAGTCCTAATCCATCTGGTGACCTGGTCTTTTGTGCTCCAGCAACTGCTAGATAAAGTAGGGTTTAGGTGTTAGACTGCAAAGGTTTGCATTCACTTTGGGGACATTGGATGTAGTATCAGTTTTTGCACCTCAACATTCTCATCTGTAAAGTGGTGACAATAGTACTTGCCAGATGAGATGATGCATGCAAAAAATATCTGGCAATGCAGGACATGGAACATAGCTAATTCTCAAAAAATGGTCAGGCTTGTTATTATTACCCACTTCATTGAAGTCTCCCTCCCAGTTTGTGACTTTGAGAGCTCATCTGTATGCTCGAATAGATTGCAGACTCTGAAAAGTTAAGATGCCAGATTACATTTCCAGTATTTTCTACACTGTGAGCCCAGAGGTAATATTACTGGTTGTGTAGTCCAAACTAATGTAGTTGTGGATTCTCCTTGGTTGACTCTACATTTATTTTCCATTAATAACACAAAAGCAAAGGAAAGATGAATGTGACATATTGTTCAGTTAAAAACCTGGCAGATTATAAAAATAGTACCATAGAGGATGATCCTATTTAGATAAAGTTAGGTAGTTGTGTGTGCTTGTAATAAAATAATTGTAACATAAGATGTTGGCCAGAATATTAAAGATGTCTCTTTCATATAACAACAACAAAAACCAGTAGAACAACAAAACACCCCAGAAATCTGAGAAGTGGGTGTATGTGAAATGCAGTTCCTTCTGTTAGGTCACCAAGATCAACATTGTAATTGTGAGCTTTCTGGGATTTTCTTTTTCTTTCTGGGATTTGGTGTAAGGAAATTTTTGACTAGGAGAACCTTGAAGTAATTAATCCTCCCCTCCTCTCCTCTCCTCATTTCCTTATCTTTCTTTCTTTTTTAAAATAAAGTCCTGTTGTTTTACATTCTTGTTAGTATTTTGACAACATAGTATTTCTTCTCTCAGGCATGGTAACCTGTGGCTGTTGCCCGCCACCAAAGCACCCATAATCCTCCACAGTAGTCATCTGTGCTCTCTTCCACCTGCCCTATTCTCAATCCTCCCTTCTGGATGCCTCAGGTTGATGGTCAGCTTTGAAGGGTTGGTTTTGCAGTCTCTCTTTGTCTGATACTTTGTCTGGTTTCTCTACATTCCACTTATAAGCAACACCACTCAGTATTTGTCTTTCTTCTTCTAGTTTAATTTGTTTATTGTAATTCCTTCCAACTCCATCCTTGTTGCCACAAATGACTTGAGCTTATCTTTTTTGATCCCTGAGTAGTATTCCATTGTGT